TTGGAATGTTACGAATGTGATTGATAACGCAGATGTGTGGATGCAAATTATTTTATAAACGGAGGAGGGGACATATTTGGATTTAAAAAAAACAGGCATGGCACATGGACATGGCACCACAGTCAAATGACATCTGTGTTTTACTCAGTAATGTTTTACTGACACTTAGGTGACTGCACATGCGCAAACAACCGCGCTCAGTGCAGGAAAGCTAAACCACGACAAACTTGTCAGCGAGTTACCACCAATTTTCCGGACTATGCATCCCTGGCCGATTCAATTCAGTGCAAGTCATAAGAGTAAACTCGGGTAATGACAAAAAATGTACATAGGTAATTGTGTTGTGTTGTGCTATATTGGCTCATGCTGTTTTTCATGTACATAAACATACATTGTAGATGTAAAGAATATTTTTTGAAATATATGATTTGCATTTTTGTAGTAGGTAGATCATTTTGACTTGATCCTTTTATAAGTAGCTCGCATGCTGAAAAAGTGTGAGCACCCCTGATCTACACTGACCGTGCGCGCAGGTCCGCGGCTTCTGATGCTCTCCCTGTGTAGTCTATGGAGCAGTGTAGAGGACAGTACGAGCCAGAGGACTGATGTAGAGCAACACAAATCACATGCATGTGTTTGTCTTCATGGTCTCTGTGCGCTGGTTTGTCCAGACGCGAGACTTTATGAAAGAAAAAAAACGATGTCCAGAATCACTGTAAAACCTGCTGCTCCTCCTGCTGATGTTTAGACACAAGTGCAGTGTGCGTGCAGATGTGATCTAAAGCCAAGGACCGCTAGAAAAATAAAGTTTTACATGAGATTTCAATGGGAGACGCGTTGGTGCGCGCACAAAATTAGAAATCCATCCTAAATTAGAGCGCAGCTTCGCGTCACATGTCCGTCATACGCGCGTATAACGCTAGAAGTGTAAATATCATCATAGGTTAACATGGAAAAAAGTTACGCGCGTCTGCTGCGCGTATAACGCGTACGTGCTGTAACGCGTGATGTGTAAATTAGCAGTGACACATGTGCCTTAAACGGTTCAGACAGCACTAGTGTTTTGGTTTTGTATGTGTGTGTGTGTATGTATGTATATGTGTGTGTGTGGTTGTTGTGTGTCTGTGTGTGTGTGGGTGGTTGTGTGCCTGTGTGTTTTTGAACGTGTATATGTGTTTTGCGTATAGATGTATGTATGTGTGTCTGTGTGTATATATGTACAGTATGTATGTGTGTGCGTTTGTGTGTGTATGTATGTGTGTATGTGTGTGTGTTTGTGTTTGTATGTGTGTGTGTATGTATACATGTGCGAGTGAGTGTGTATTTGTGTGTGTTTGGTTGTGTGTCTGTTTTTTTTTGAACATGTACTGTATGTGTGTTTTGTGTATATATGTGTTTATGTATGTATGTACTGTATGTGTGTTTTGTGTATATATGTGTTTATGTATGTATGTGTGGTGTGTGTGTGTGTGTCTGGGCAGAAGCTCAGTTGGTAGAACATTGGCCTTTGAGCCAGAGGGTCGTGGGTGCGAGCCCGACCTTCACTATCGACTCCCAATGTCTGCTGTCGTTGTGTCCTTAGGCAAGACACTTCACCCCCATTGCCTAGAATGAATCTGGTGTGTGTGTGTGAATGGTTGTGTGAGGGGCCGATGGCACACACCGGTTGCCTCGCTTCTGTCAGTGTGCCCCAGGGCAGCTGTGGCTACAGTAGTAGTTACCACCACTGTGTTTGGAGTGAATGGATAATGACATGTGAAGTGTCTTTGAGTGTCCAAAAAAGCGCTATATAAAACCGATGCATTATTATTAAATATGTGTGTGTGTGCACCTGTTTGTGTATGAATCTGTGTGTGTGTGTGTGTGTGTGTGTGTGTAGAGTAGAAACATGATTTTATATATTAAACGTAAATGTTGAGTTTCTTCTGTGTAAAAATTGTACGTTTTAGACTCACAGACAGCGAGTGAAAGTCCAAGAAACTTCCTGCTTTTATTATTTTTTTTTATTTTTGTTTCACCAAAACACAATATTTACAAAACAGTTTAATAAATTAAGCTTCTATCTCACCACATCAAAAACTAAAATCGGGAATAATAACTCTTGGGTGAGTGGGACTTTCTTTTAGCATCGTGTTCTGACTATACCACCTCATACACACACACACACGCACACACACACACACACACACACACACACTGCACTCTCTCTCCCCTCCTCTGCGTTCAGTGATAAATGAGTTTGTATTGTCGCTCGCCCGGCTTCCTGCCAGCCCAGGTCACTGCTTATTAAATTACCACTTGTCACTGGCCTAAATACTGATTGATGGATGAGCGTGGCAAATGAAGGACTCCTCTGGCTTTGGCCCCGCCCCCTTCTGCCCCACACACACACACACACACACACACACACACACACACACACACACACACACACACACACACATGCCTATATAGTGCCACAGTTGTCCCTGAGATTGGTATTGACAGATATCGAATGCGGCTGCTCGGCTCAATTCGTCTGTCATTTTCGTTTCTTGCCGTTTGACTAATTTATTTTCACTCTCACTTGTTTAAATCTTGCGTCTAGTTCAGAGAAAAACAAAAAGATTGAACTTTTTTTTTTCTTAGGTTTTAAATACGCAACATCAAAAACACAACACAGAGAGACAAGATCAAGGTCAGGGGCCCAAAAGTCGACCAGGTGTGGCTCTCAAAACTGCCCAAAGGGTCAAAAAGTGACTCACAGGGATCTTTCTGACAACCTTATTTTTTTTCATCCCGCTCTGGTCTCTTTCTCTTGTCTCTCTCTGGTTTCTCTGGTCTCTCTCTCTGGTCTCCCTCCCTGGTCTCTCTCCCTTGTCTCTCTCTAGTCTCTCTCTCTCTGGTCTCTTACCCTGGTTCTCTCTAATCTCTCTCTGGTCTCCCTCCCTGGTCTCTCTCTGGTCTCTCTCCCTGGTCTCTCTCTAGTCTCTCTCTCTGGTTGCTCTCTGGTCCCCTTCTCTGGTCTCTCTCTAGTCTCTCTCTCTGGTCTCCCTCCCTGGTCACTAGTCTCTCTCTCTGGACTCTTTCTCTGGTCTCCCTCCTTGGTCTCTCTTTCTCTCGTCTTTTTCTGTTCTTCCTGTAGCCCTCAGTCCTCTTTCAGCCCCTCTGTGTCCTCTGGAGCTGCATTTTACAGTGTACGCACGGCTTTTGACAGCTACAGCAGCGCTCATACCTACTGCCAACAGCTTTGATACCTCTGGTCTCTCTCTGGTCTCTCTCTGGACTCTCTCTAGACTCTCTCTTGACTCTCTCTGGTTTTAAGCTTTTAAGAGTAGAGTGGGGCTGGTGGAAACGGGGCTATTGTAACGGACAGACAGACAATAAACAGACTAGAACTCTCGCAACAAGAAGGTCCTGGGTTCGATTCCACCTCCAGACCTTTCTTAGTGGAGTTTGCTCATTCTCCCCGCAGCTGTGTAGGTTTCCTCCGGGTGCTCCGGTTTCCCCTACCACTAAAAATCAGGTATAGGGCTAAATGGAATGAGTGAGGGACATAAATAGACCTCACTTACTTGCATACTTACAAACAAACTCTGGTGATTACATTACATTCACACTCACACCAATGCATATAATATTTACTTTGAAACTTGGGAAATGCAGAAATAAGGAATCCACTGTAGATTTGGGTAAAAACACTTTTGTAGACTTTTATCTTTGAATCCAGCCCAGTTAATACTCAAAAACATCTGGTTTTCTGGATTAAAAAAACTGCTTTGACTCAACTCCAGTCATTTCACACTCTTTACTCTAAATAAACAGATTGATGCCGTCGTTGGCTCCGCACGCGTTTCTCCGACAGTTTTTTAAAAATATGTTTGTGATTAATTTAGTGACGTTGGAAAAAGAGCAGTTTTGGAGTTTGGAGAAAGGAATGCTCACGTTTTATTCTTTAAGTTTTGGTGGTTTGGACCGGTCTTCAAAAGGCAAGGAAAGAGGCCGCATTCCTGCCTCGGCAGATAACAACTCTGTCGCCGCCGCTGAGAGTGTTACCAGGGGGGGAGGGAGGGAAGGGAGGGAAGGGAGGGAGGGAGGGGGGAGAGACGGGGTGACATTTGAGAGCTACACATGGCGGATCGTGGCGGCTCTTTGCTCTCCCTACACCTTCAGTCCTCTTCCACGTTTGACTTTGTATTAAGGTACTACGCAAATAAACAGTAGTCAGAGAGGGGGAGAGGGAGGGGGGAGGCAAGGGAGGGAGGGGGGGGGAGAAGGGGGGGACATTTGAGAGCTACACATGGCAGATCATGGCTGTTCTTATAGCTCTCCCTACACCTTCAGTTCTCTTCCACGTTTTTAATAAGCTAATACGGCAATAGACAATGGTCAGAGAGGGGGGGAGGTTGGGGGAGGGGGGAGAAAGGGGGTGACATTTGAGCGCTACACATGGCAGATCACGGCACCGCTGTTCTTAGCTCTTTGCACACTTACAGCTTTCTTCCACGTTTAACTTATACGCAATTACAGTAAATAACACTCAGAAGGGGGAGGGGGGCGGAGCCTGAGGTGCATAAAAAAAATAAAAAAAAAAATCCAAAGGAAAGTTTTCACAAAGAGATTGGCAAAAGCAGAAATGTGGCCGTTGATAATGATTAGCGAGGCCTTTATGTGCGCCTCCAAAGCCGAGTTGGGCTGCAGCCTTCATCAGAGTGAGGAGTGGGGTGGGTTTCTCTCGCTGTGCAGCATGGGTGTCTAATGATAAGGTAAATGAAAGGAGATTTCAAAGAGCGCCGGCCCTCCCTGAGCACTTTCTTTCAAAGACTGGACAAACTGGAGCGGTTTGGAGAAAGACCGCGGGCGTGCCGAATGATTGTCAGCCATGCAAATAATCACTTACTTACACTCGGTGAGTTTGCGGCGGATAAAGCAAATCACCGTTTTGAAAATGAGCTCAGAAACACTCTGGGCGGAAAAGGGAAAAGCTCGCGTCGCCATTCTGCGTCGCGTTTGTCGGATACATGACGGCTCGTACGCGCAAACATACGATCGTCATCAGCTGGGCTCCTGCTGCAGGCCCTGGTGAGAGAGAAGACGAGAGAGAAGATGAGAGAGAAAAAAGAGAGCGATAGAAGAGAGAGAGAGGGCAGAGAGAGAGAAAGAGAGAGAGACCGGAGATAACTGGACTGGGCACTGGTCTGTTTCTCTCGCTCTAGTCTCTCTGGTCTCTCTCTCTCTCGCTCTCTGGTATCCTCAAGTCTCTCTCTCTCTGGTCTCCCTCAAGTATCTCTCTCTCTCTCTCTCTGGTATCCTAAAGTCTCTCTCTCTCTCTCTCTCTCTCTCTCTCTCTCTCTCTCTCTCTCTCTCTCTCTCTCTCTCTCTCTCTCTCTGGTATCCTCAAGTCTCTCTCTCTCTGATATCCTAAAGTCTCTCTCTCTCTCTCTGGTCTCCCTCAAGTCTCTCTCTCTCTCCCTCTCGCTCCCTCTCTCTCCCTCTCTCTCTCTCTCTCTCTCTTACTTTCTCTCTTACTCTCTCTCCCTCTCTCTCTTTCTCTCTTGTCTCTCTCCCTCTCTCTCTCTCTCTTTCTCTTACTCTCTCTATTTCTCTCTCCCTCTCTCTCTCTCTATTACTCTCTCTTCATCTCTCTCTCTCTCCCTCTCTCTCTTACTCTCTCTCCCTCTCTCTCTTTCTCTCTTGTCTCTCTCCCTCTCTCTCTCTCTCTCTCTTTCTCTTACTCTCTCTCTCTCTCCCTCTCTCGCTCTCTCTCTGGTCTCTCTCGCTCTCTCTCTGGTCTCTCTCTCTCTCTCTGGTCTCTCTACCTCTCTCTCTCTTTCTCTCTCTCATGTAAATACTGGGTGTGTTGTCTGAACCAGCTAACATCACAAACGTATAATCATGAATCTTAGTTTTTCAGGGCAGTGGTTTAAAGAACAGAGTGTGTTCTCTGGACTCGTCCTCCCTGTCATCAATGGAAGAGACTTCAAAACATTATTTTCTAAACATTTGAGAGAGCACAGTGACCAGAAAGAGTAGAGAGAAAGAGAGGAGAGGGACCAGAAAGAGTGGAGAAAGAAAGAGAGACCAGGAAGAGTAGAGAGAGAGAGAGAGAGAGAGAGAGAGAGAGAGAGAGAGAGCAGAGAGACCAGAAAGAGTAGCGAGAGAGAGAGAGACCAGAGAGGGATAGACCAGAGGGGGAGAGACTAGAAAGAGATAAAAAAAGACCAGAGACCAGAGACAGAGAAAGAGAGACTAGAAAGGGACAAAAGAGACCAGAAGGAGACCAGAGAGAGACCAGAGCGATACAAAGGCAGATCTGGAGGATGTGTCGGAGGCCAAACCAAACATGTCGGTGAAAATATGATCAAAGCAAACTATTCTGAGACGGAGGAACGAGAGACAAAGATTATAAACACATACACTGCAAATAATGATAAAAAATGATATAATTAAAGCTTGAATCAAGTGGTTTTTACCTAGTTTTAGCACCTTCTGACCGTATTCAAAACAGATTCTCCAATGGGACAAAACCATTTAGTGTTTTTTCAAAAACTGGGCCATGGAAGGCATCCTTTAGTTTAAGAAATGGCCGAATCTCTCCGTACCTCTTGGTCTCTTTTTGTCCCTTATCAACCCGGCAGATTCACACAGAGAGTCCTCCAGCCTCGTGCACATATAGAAGTCAAAATTTAAGTCAATAACCACAATTAAAAAACATGGTGGAGGTAAATATTCTACAGAAAGCTCACATTGGGTTTTGTTTTCGTTTGGTGCACCTGTAACAATGACACAGAGCACCTTTAAGGCTCAGATTAAGACACATTTTTGCCAAACTCGAGCTATTTCTGCCTTATTTTTCATCAGCGTATTCAAATTTGTGGCTGTTTCAAAGTCAGGTCCCTCAGTTTTAAACTTCTCCCAGTGTATTTGATCCCAGACAGGTCCAACAACCGCCGCCGCCGCTTAAGCCCCGGCGTTTAACCTTGCTGAAAGTGGGTTAAGCGCAGAAACGTCATCAAACTCGGCACTCGGAAGAAAAGACAACAGTGTTTCTCCGCGAGGAAGACTTCTGCATATTAATTCTTATCGAGGCTATGAATAATCATGTGTCTACGAGGGAGCCGGATCCACTGGCACTCTGAGCTGTCATAATTACCAAGACTCGCTCAACAATGCGGCTTCTTATTAACACGCGAATAATAGCCACGTCGAGAACCGCGGCTAAAAAAACCTACTTTTATGCTTGACGTATCTCATTGTCTTGGCGGCACACGCTAACGCTAACCCCTCTGTCCTGTAGCTGTGGCAGTATATATATGTCTATGTGTGTGTATGCGTGGCCTACGGTGGCGGGAAAGTCGGGCGTGACATTGTGATCCCCGCGGGGCCCTCGCACACCTCATTAGCGCCCTGCTATTGGCCACCCATGGGCATGAGTCGGCCTCTCGCTGGGTTGAAAAGATCTCGCTCCGGATTCGTGGGGAATGCCTCGCCGGTGGACGTGTTTTGCACCGGCGAGCAATTATTTCCAGGGCCGCGGCGCTCTCTGATCTGGTCTGGCGAAAGGGAGCGGTCAGAGATCGGCCGTCACTTTGCACGGAAAGAGAAGCGACAGTCGGCTTTGAAACGAGAAATGGATTGCTTTCAAAATTCCCAAATCACATTTTTCTGTAAAAAAAATGAAACGATCGTAAATGTTCCACTGACCTCATGGTTTGGTTCTCTTTTTTTATGATGAATAATATATTTATACATTTTCATCAATTTTCGCCGAAACATCTGGAGAAATCTGATCCCTCTCTTTGGTATCTCTCTGGTCTCTCTCTTTCCGCTCTCTCTGCCCTCTCTCTCTGGTCTCTCTCTGGTCTCTCTCTGATCTCTCTCTGGTCTCTCTCTGGTATCTCTCTGGTCTCTCTCTTTCCGCTCTCTCTGCCCTCTCTCTCTTGTCTCTCTGTGGTCTCTCTCTGGTCTCTCTCTTTCCGCTCTCTCTGGTCTCTCTCTGGTATCTCTCTGGTCTCTCTCTGGTATCTCTCTGGCCTCTCTCTCTGGTCTCTCTGTGGTCTCTCTCTGGCCTCTCTCTCTGGTCTCTCTCTGATCTCTCTCTGGCCTCTCTCTCTGGTCTCTCTGTGGTCTCTCTCTTTCCGCTCTCTCTGGTCTCTCTCTGGCCTTTCTCTCTGGTTTCTCTCGCGGGCCTTTCTCTCTGGTCTCTCTTTCTGGTCTCTCTCTGGTCTCCCTCTGGCCTTTCTCTCTGGCCTCTCTCTGGTCTCTCTCTGGTCTCTCTCTGGTCTCTCTCTGGTCTCCCTCTGGTCTCTCTCTGGTCTCTCTGACCCGTCTCGCCGGTCGGACGTTGCTCACAGATTTATCAAAAAGAAGTTGTATTTACTGTTTCTTTAGAGATCGCTTTGAGACGACAAATGTCTTTCTTCAAAAATCAATCACGTTTTTCAGGAAAAGTTAATAATTTCTCGTTCTACTGACCTCAAAGCGCGTCTCAGACAACACGGTGCAGACCAGAGAAGTGCCGTCTGCTTTTCTTTGTTATAATAAGCTAAAATGCAGAGGGACTTCTGCCAAAATATCTGGAGAAATCAGAGCTCCGTGTGACTGTCCCCGGGGCCCGGCATCTCTGTTTCAAGGTTACAGCGAGGGCCCTAACAAATGAACGCCACTGTCCTGATCTGAGAGAGAGAGAGAGAGAGAGAGAGAGAGAGAGAGAGAGAGAGAGAGAGAGAGAGAGAGAGAGAGAGAGAGAGAGAGAGACAGAGAGAGGGAGAGAGAGAGAGAGAGAGAGAGAGAGAGAGAGAGACACAAAGAGAGAAGAACAGAGAGGGAGAGAAAGGGAGAGAGAGAAGGCGAGAAGGAGGGAGAGAGATAGAGAGAAAGGGAGGGAGAAAACAAGACCAAAAGAGAGAGCGAGTGACAGAGAGAGAGAGAGAGGGAGGCAGAGAGAGAGAGAGACAGAGAGAGAAAGGGAGGGAAAAAACAAGACCAAGAGAGAGAGAGGGAGAGAGAGACAGAGAGAGAGAGGAAGGGAGAAAGCAAGAGAGCGGGAGAGCGGGAGAGAGAGAGAGAGACAAAGAGAGAGAGAGAGAGAGAGAGACACTACTTGGACATTTACCAAAACTTCATTCTATCATTTATTGTTATATTTTAGAAGTTTATTGAAACAAACGAGAGGCTGTGAGGCTGAGTGAGAGGATCCAGTCTTCTACAGAGAGAACATGTTCAGATAATGTGTCTTTGGTAAAAAAGAAAATACAAATTTGGATTAATGGAAGTTTTAATTTTGAGTCTTAAAAATCACCGGTTTTACAAAAAGTCTTAAAGGTACAGCGCACATTTGTTATTTTTGTATCCGTCCCCGACACAAGGTCGAGATGCACAAATCCTGTCTGTTCTTTTGATGATTTCACTTTTAGGCGCCAGTGTTTTTGACGTGACACAGACTCAAATCAGACTCCCGACTGTATGTGATATAGAGGACTCATACGCAAGTTTAATCGTATGGCACATCTCATACACAAGGAACTTGAAAGAGCCAGACAGAGAATCTAAAAAGAAAAAAATATATGTAAATAATCTCTGCATTAAAAAGAGTAAAAAATGCAGGTCTCATAAGGGATTTTGTGTGTGTGTGTGTGTGTGTGTGTTTGTGTGCATGTGTGTGTGTGTGTGTGTCACCAGTCACAGTTGGAAAAACCACTAAGACTATTATTCCTATCTTTATCTGAAATTTATAGAATGATTTATCAAATAGACTTACACTAGTTGACCTTTTTCTTTTGCCGAAAAAGGTCAACTAGTGCTCCTGCTGCTGCTGCTGCTGCCGCTGCTGCTGCTGCTGCTGCTGCTGCTGCTGCTGCTGCTCACATTACACCGTGCTCTTAAACCCTCCGTGGAGAATAAAAAGTACACATTTACGGGCGCGCACAAACCGCCACAAAGGTGTTGAAAAGGTTTACGGCCGAGCAGAGTGCGTGTGCGTCCCGCTGGGATCTGTCAGGGGTGATTACAGGCCCCCCGCCGAGCCCACCGAGGAAAACCATCCGAGATTTGACCCATTCCTAGTCATTTGTCCCCCTTACCCCCCCCCCCCCCCCCCCCCCCACTCCCCCCCCCACACTCCCCCCACACTCCCCTCTTCAACCCCGTCTCTGCGGCCCTCAGGTTCAGGCCCCCGGCAGGTCGGGTCAGAGGCCGCCTGGCTCAGCTACTTCTGGGCTGAGCTGGACCTGGCAACAAAGGGTATTGTCCCTGTCTCCTGCATGGACCCCCCCTGGAGGACCCCCCTGGAGGACCTCTGCCTTCCCCAGCAGGCCTCTAGCTTCTGTCGTGATCCTTAAAGCTGGGCTACAAAACTTTTATTTTTCATAAGTAGTGTTTCTAGTCTGTGTGTTTCAAAATGAATCAAGAGTCTGTCGTAAAGTCGAATTGAGTCGTGCTGAGTTAGTTTCAGAAAGGTAATACACAAGGCTACTCTGGATATAACAGGAGAAGCCTGTCTCACATTTTCAGGAAGACTGTTCTAGATTTAAGCTGCATATTTCTGAAACGCTGCCTCCGCATGTTTAGTCCTGACTCTGGGACCGGCAGGAGGCTAGTCCCTGTGCTCCTCAGAGTCCCAGCAGGAGGCCAGTCCCTGTGCTACCTCAGAGTCCCAGCAGGAGGCCAGTCCCTGTGCTACCTCAGAGTCCCAGCAGGAGGCCAGTCCCAAATTGGTTAGAAATAATGTTATATTGGCGCCGTAAAGATGGCGCCGTGGCAAGAGCTCTGGTGTGTGTCGTCTGGTGCACACTGGGGTAGTCTTGCACAGTTTTTCCAATGTGGTTTTACTGCAAAGGGCAAATAAATGAATCTGAATCTGATATGTTGTGCACATAAGAAATAGCCCTCTGAGTTATTGCTTGACTCTGTGGGCTGAGAGCTGATTGGCTGATTGAGGGTGGTCCTCTATATTTCCCTTTTCTGTCCAAACAAGAGGTACAGTAAGTAAGTAAGTCATGTTTATTTATATAGCACATTTTACAGACCAAGGCCACCCAAAGCGCTTTACAGAGTTCAGATTTCCGATATTGTTCCAATTAGGGCTGGGCGATATGGCTGAAAACTATATGACTATGAATATAAGTAATTCATATCGGTCGATAACGATATATATTGATTGTTTTTTAAACCTAAATAAATACATTTGTCGTGTCGGCTAACACACTTTAGCAGCCCTGTTTACAGTCACGGGGGAAGGAGGCTAGAGGAATATGTTCACAAGCACAGTGTCCCCCATTGTTAGTCCTGGTTGAGCTCCTGGTTTGGCTTTTTTCGAGTGTCTTGTGTCCCCGTGACAGCTCTGTGCGGCTGTGCTTCCCGAGGAAATGTCCATCTCTTGCTTTCGCCAAGTGAATCGGGTCTCTGTGTCCACTGCCTCTCCGCGCCGCACATGCTGTTCCTCAAACAGACGTGCAGAACTATTGACACGGCATTGAGACACAATCCATAGATCCATGGACGCCACGCATGGTGCGGGTTTTGTTTTTGCATTTCCCAGAATGTTTTGGAGTCCATGATGATGATGATAGGTCGAGAAGTCTCTTCCTAAATCTCCCAGAATGCCGTGCGCCTCTGACTCGGCTTTACTTCCTGTGTTTTCTTCCTGTTTTTTCTTACGGAGCGAAGTTAAACTATCGAACATTCTATCGACCTCGTTTTCTATTGATCGAGCACGTGTCTATCACAATATATATCGTTATCGTTTTATCGCCCAGCCCTAGTTCCAATCATTCCACAGTGAGACCCCGGACACACTGGACCATCAAAACCTCCGACCAAACACCATCCATTCACTCATTACGTTCAGACCAATTGTACATGTTTTTAGTGGTAGGGGAAACCGGAGCACCCAGAGGAAACCTACGCAGACATGCGAGAGTGCTAACCACTCAGCCACCGTGCAGAGGACCAAGAGACAGGAATGTGAAAACTAGTGATGGATGAAAACTGTTTTAGACTCAGGCCCTCATTAAATATTATAGTTACTTTTTTGTTTGTGTGAAAGTTACGTCCCCCGGCTTTAAACGTTAGATGCCAGATTAACGGCAGAACAAAAGTAGACTGGGGCCAAGTTTCTGGACTTTGAATCGAACCCTTGATGTGAGTCTCACCTCCGTCCCTACCCCCTCTCTGACCCCATCGGAGGGCTCTCACAGCGGGACCCCTGGGGAGGACCCCTGCCGAGCTCCTTTAGCCCCGGGGTTTGGGCCCTGTCACCGGGACGCACACACTGGCAGCTCAGGAGCCATGAGAAGGTGGGGAAGAATAGTGAAGTGACGCACCTCCGCTCCACCGGGACAAAGAGACGCAAACATAGTAGAACGCACAAACTGAACCCTGACAAAAGAGGAGTTTTATCGCGTCCAGGCCTGTCAGAGAGCATTATGGGACGGGGGAAGGCGGCCTTATCAGAGCGGGATGTGGTGCGGCCTTTTTTATAGGGTTTTATGGTTACATTCTGGGGAGAAAGCAGCGAAAAAATATTGTGTTAAAGAAGAATTATTGTGTATTTTTTTTTACCATCATGTATGACAATGAGACTGTTTACTTTGCTGTTTCATGTTTAGAATTCAAATCATATCTCCCAAAGAAAATTGATGTTTTAACAACGACGTGAGAGACCAGAGAGAGACAAGAGAGAGACAGAGAGACTAGAGAGAGACTAGAGAGAGACCAAAGAGAGACCAAAGAGAGACTAGAGAGAGACTAGAGAAAGATTAGAGAGAGAACAGAGAAAGACCAGAAATAGAGACAAGAAACAGAGACCAGTGAGAGATCAAAGAGACCAAAGAGAGACCAGAGAGAGACAAAAGAGAGACAAGAGAGAGACTAAAGAGCGACCATACAGAGACCTGAGAGTGACAAGAGAGAGACTAGAAAGAGAGACCCAAAGAGAGACCAGAGAGAGGCTAGAGAGACCAGAGGGAGACTGGAGAAAGACCAGAGAGAGATCAGGGAGAGACCAGGGAGAGACCAGAGCGGGACCAGAGAGAGACCAGGGAGAGACCAGAAAGAGACAAAAGTGTTGTTTTTGCCACTTTTTAGATTCGCGCCGTGTCCAAACTTCTCGAACGCAGCGGTCGCGAGGTCATCTCCGTCGCTCATCGCAACTATTTCTCCAAATTTCCAAATCACCTCGCTCCGTTGATGGATCTGCGGGTCACAAGGCCATCTGCCCATCTCTCTCTCTCTCTCTCTCGGCGTGGTCACCATTTGAAAAGCCTGGGTTGGCGCTCGCCGGTCTGCAGAGATGGCGCGTACGGCGAGTAGGAGTAAGTAGAGTTTGTTATTTCATCGCCTTTGACTAAGGTCACACCAAATTAACAGCCGTCTGTCTGAATAAAAATAGCATACTATTAATTCTCCGCTGATAAAACGCAAAGGTTGACCTGATTTTAACGTTAAAATAAGGAGAAATGAAAGAAGGGAGATGAGGGTTGCGGAGGGGGTGGCGGGCTGCGGCTTCAGACCCCAGTATCACCGCTGCTGCATTTGTGAAAAATCCCAACTTCACCCAAAAACAATGCACCGGAAACAGAGACCAGAGAGAGATGGAAGAGACCAAAGAAACACCAGAGAGAGACCAGAAAGAGACCATACAGAGACCAGCGAGAGACCAAAGAGAGACCATAGAGAGACCATAGAGAGACCAAAGAGACACCAGACAGAGACCAGAGAGAAACCAGAGAGAGACCAGAGAGAGACCAGAGAGAGACCAGAGAGACCAGAGAGAGACCAAATAGAGACTAGAGAGAGACCAAGGAGAAACCAGAGAGAGACCAGAGAGATACCATAGAGACTAGAGAGAGACCAAGGAGAGACCAGAGAGAGACTAGAGAGAGACCAAAGAGAGACCAAGGAGAGACCAGAGAGAGACTAGAGAGAGACCATGGAGAGACCAAGGAGAGACCAGAGAGAGACCACAGAGAGACCAAGGAGAGACCAAAGAGAGACCAAGGATAGCCCAGAGAGAGACCACAGAGATACTAGAGAGAGACCAAGGAGAGACCAGAGAGAGACCAGAGAGACACCAGAGAGACTAGAGAAAGACCAAGGAGAGACCAGAGAGACCAAAGAGAGACCAAGGAGAGACCAGAGAGACCAAGGAGAGACCAAAGAGAGACTAGAAAGAGACACCAGAGAGAGAGAGACCAGAGAGAGACTGGAGAAAGACCAGAGAGAGAGACCAGGGAGAGACCAGAGAGGGACCAGAGAGACCAGAGAGACCAGGGAAAGACCAGAGAGAGATCAAAGAGGGACCAGAGAGGGACCAGAGAAAGACCAGAGAGAGAGAGAGACAAAAACAGGGGGTAGCGGTCTGCGGCTTCAGACCCAAGTTTCACCGCTGCCGCATTCGTGAAAATTCCCAACTTCACCCAAAAACAATGCAACCCAATTTAGACCCGGCATTTCAATTACCCACAACTTTATGGTCAAGCGAGAGCCGCGGAATTATAATCCATTTTCAGGTGATAAAAGCACAAACAGTCAGAAGGGGGGGAGGGGTTTGGGGGATGCACCAGTTAATTGCCACCACATTTGTTTAACAAGCTTAGCTCTTGTCTCAGCACCGACTCGGCTCTCAGCATTCAAAAAGATCGTAATTATTTCTAGTCTTTGCGAGGTCTTCAGATTGTCAACTCTTGTGTTGGCCGCCGATAAAACGCGCCTCTTTCAAACTTAATCGCCGCAAGTAGACTGAGGTTAGCGCGGCATTAGCTCGGGCCATCTGAATGGGGCTCGCCAACGTCAGGCAAAAAGAAGATTACGTTGAGAATCGGGGGAGAAAGACGAAAGAAGACGAGAGAGGGAATCAAAAAATAAATAAAAACGCGGCTACGATCGCGCACGCTAACCCCGCCGCAGTCAATTACGCGCTGTTTATGTTTCTGGTCGCTTGATAACGCGCAAGAGCGACTTAAAGATTGACAAGGATTATTTACGGGAAAAAGCGGCGGTGAAAGCGGTCTAAAAAGCCACTGGTGTAAACAGCAATTACAAGTCGGCGGGCAAAATTAAAAGCTATTTGAATAGAGATTTCACTTCTTAAAGGGACGGCAGATAGCGTGTGTTTAATGAGGGAGCGGGATGACGGGCAGCGCTCAAATCGGAATATGTAAATCTATCTGTACGGAGAATTATTATGGTAATGGGGGAGTTTGGGGGAGTTTGGGGAGGCGCAGCCAAAACTTGTAATTGGAGAGAGCGCATAGAGTGGTGTCATGCGCTCGTGGGTCAAAAGAAAAAGCCTGAACAGATAAATATTGTTGAATTGTAATGTCCACTTGACATCTGTGTG